TGCAACACACCGTTGCGCGGCAAATTGCACGACAACTTGCAAGATGCCAAGTTTTAATAATTGAAACGATACGGTCACACGTATGACACGGCACGGGATCACAGATGGATTTTGCTCTCTTCCACGGGTTTGCACCTTTTGTGCCACAGGCACCTATGGCAATAACACACCCGGCATTGGCGCGATTCAATGATGAATGGAAGGAGCGAGTTGACAATGTTTGGTGACGCGTGCCACGTGTCATGGCGCCCATGTGTTGAACTATGGATTTATACAATTTCGGTCTTTTGAGAGGCTTGCACGTTTTCGTGATATGTCAGAAACTAGGGAATAAAGTGGACAGCGACTGGCATGCTTCGATAAGTGGTCTAACGAGCGATCACTGAAACGTGTACGATGCCACTCTCCACGTGGCATGACACGTGAACATTAGCTGTGAAACTGTATTTTGCCGATTTCGTCCATTTTTACGCTTTACGCGGGATGTCCGCTCTTATGGCGCGTAGTAACACGAGACTGGCATGCAGCGATAGGCCATTGAACGGGAAATCCCGTGGTCACATGTGTCACAAGTGCGGCGTGGCATGTTGCACGTGGCGGGCACACACGAGCCAGGAAGATGGCTTTTGCTCTTTTCCACGGGTTTACACGCTTTGTGCCCCATCTCGGCACTCAGGGCACGGAGGTACTGGGGAGTGGCATGCATTTCTAAGAAATCGAATAGATAATGGCGTTTCATGAATTGTCATGTCGAACGTGCTGTATGGATTGATGGGGAATCGGACAAACCATCACGTGGTATAGATTGTAGCGCCACGTATGCACGAGCCAGAAAAATCTATTTGGCCGCTACCGACCGTCTTCACTGTCCGCTACAATACAATGCCGTTGAATGCGACGGTAGCGCGTGCTGCCATCATTCAAAGGTGGACAGTTGATGAAAGTGGCAGCAATCAGCGGTCACGTCCCAGGATCAATCACCGATCCCATGGAATAGGTTTGCCTGTGTTGCAGAGAGGGCATGCCAAATGCGCTCTCTCCTGCCGGCGGCTGCTAGAGACCGCCGGTACCGCGCGTGGCCTGCGCCCGAGTGTTTTTCAAACTTACCGCGATATATCGGCAACCAGGGCACCTAGGACCACGATTCCAACTGCAAAAGATGCATAATTAAAATTTCTATTTTTTTGCATAGTGCAGTGAAGCAAGCGCGCAAGCGCTTGTCATTAACTAATTCACATATCTTCCTTCAGAACAAAAAGCTCTGCTACGTGTCATTACGCCCTTCGCCGCCTTCATCCAGACATGTTCTTTTTCAAGCCAATCAAACAGTCCTAACAAGGCCAGACGCCGGATGCGTGGGAGTCGCGCTGCTCGGAAATAGCTCCAGTCGCAACTGGCGCAGTTCCGGTGCTGTCTTGTGACGGCCTAGATAGTGAGAAGATCCTCTGGCCCCGCACGTGGCAGCGCCCAGGCGCGCAGTCAGATCCTTGGCAGGGGGGGGGGGGCGGAGCACAGGGCTGACAAAGGGCCTCTGATAGTAAAAGACCCCCCAAATATAGCTGGATACGGCCAATTTTTTATGAGGGGATGTTTTCCTTGCTGTTTTTTACTTTTACCTTTTAAAACTGGAATGGAGTCAACACTACCGTGACCGGCATTCCACCGTGAAGCCGTGACCGACGGTTGACGAAAATGATGACGCATCTGAAACAGTCACATCTGAACGCTTTATGACATCAAATCATGCATTTAGAAAGCATTCCTGGCGTATATTCCAATTGTGCGATCTCAGATTGGTGATAAAAATGGGTTGGCCTTTGCAGCGCCGCGAAGTGGTGCTGGTGGTAGAGCTGACAGAGAAGAGGAAAAACCTCTATTTGTCGTGATGCTGTAATTGTTTATCTGTCCAGAGGACAACCCGAAAGTGGTTAGAACGATACGCCCAGTCTAATTTCTGAACGATACGAATTACTTCTTAAGAACATTCGGTCTAATTGTTTTACAACGGTCGCTCTCACGCGCACGGTGCCCGCTACGTGTGTTTCTTGCTGTGGCCACCGCCGTTCAGGGTTACGGAAACTGCAGCCCAGGACATCGCTGTCCCTGCTACCGAGATTGTGGGCGCGCAGGCTTAACCGTTTCGATGTAATTTGTTTCATTGGTCGATTTTGCAAAGGTATGAACGTTTTCAGGCAAATATGGGATGACACTGCTTGTTTTTAGCCCATTTCGACCCGCTCTATTTAACATTAATAGACCCATTATTTCTTTCCGGGAAAGGGACCCTCCTGGTTAAAACACTAAGGGGCACAATGTCGTTCCCGGTCAAGCGCTGAAGGGCCATTCCGTTTCACCACGGGGTGTCTTCCGGCTGCCCTTTTGACGACGCGGGGCGGGATCCCCTGATCGATCCGGAGGCCCTTAGAGGGATACATTATATCACGTTGGTATCATTTATACTCACATGGCGTTTACATTGGTATCACATATAGATAACGATAAACTTTTTAAGTGGATAAGACTGCTCTGGACAGTACAATCCTGTTGAGGAAATATGCTCTTCAGTGCGTCATTTTTTATTACATCATACCTTGCACAATATCGATTGAGAGGCAACTGACCGCCGTTATCTCTGGGAATCGCGCTCACGAACGCCAGATATGAACGCCTCGACAATTGTATTATTATTGGCCCTGATGTCCGCATGGCTCATGGAATGGCAGGATTTCAATGACGTTTTATGGCTTCATGAATGCCAAGGTGACTTTGAAATGCTCTCCCCGATATACCTTTCCGCATTTTCGCGGGCGTGCAGCTCAAAAGAGACCAGTCCGAAGGTCTCCCCTCCATGAGCGGGAGACCTACGGACTCGCCCAGTTGATTTTGGATCGACGCAGGAGCCTTCACTGAAGCAACAACATTCCTGATGGCCACAGAGGATCCAATTATTGGCACATTTGGCACATTGGCACAACTTCAGTTTGGGTTAACGGGCCAATGATGGAATTGGGTTAGAGAGCCCACCGTTCGGTAGTGGGTGCTCTGACTAGCACAGGACCCTTCCATTGCCTCTATGTGGGCACTCATTATAAAATATCATGTTTCTTTCCTTGTCAGAGGGCCCCGACCAACTCAAAGAGGCCCGCTGTTATTCGGAGTCCTGTCGTCGTCCCTGTTGAGTGACTTTTCCCCTGACTGTCTCGAGGCCTCTTATTAACACAGAATGCCCTGTTTCTCAAACTCAAAGCTCTCTGACTGTCATTTGAGGGTCCGCCGCCACAGACCGGGGCGCCTTAATGAGACTTTGACCAATCCTTCGTGCCCTTAGATGCTCCAATCAGGTTCTTGATCGTCGCACCCGGTGAGCCTTCCAGGTTCTTCGGGCCTCCTCGAACAATGCCTCTGGCTGACTTGGAGCCCCTTGCCAACACAGGGCACTGTAGGTCCCTGTGAGACGCTGGAACACTGACCAATGTAAATCAGTGATTCCGGCTTTGCCTCTGTCATTTGCCCAGGCCCATGCCGCCACGGAGCCGACTGTGTGTCACTGCTGGTGTCTGGCCGACATATGGGCCTTGATCAGCTCAGAGGCTCCTGATCAGCGCACGGGGCCCTCTGGCTGGCATTAGATTGCCCGACCCTGCGGGCGGGAGCCCCTGAATACAACCTTCCAGGCCCCTCGGGCCGTCAAATCGGACCCTTTACCGCAAGTCCCCAGCTGCCCTTCGTATCCTCGAAATGTATGGGGAGGGCATGTGCTCTCTGTGCCTCCCCGTGCCTGCGCTATTGGCGGCACCTCAAGGCAGTCTATTTGCCACTCGCGACATTCTACAGTCGCACGACAGACCCGTGACTTCGTCACAGATGTCTCCTGCGTCTGTATGTGTGTAAATATATGCGCCAGTTGCTTTGCGACGAACGAAACAGGCCATGCTTCCCAGCAAACGTGACCCACGTGTGATCAACGTCGTTGCTGCCGATGCCGATGGGCGGCTATGATTGCACGTTACAGTGCATCCGGTTGTAGGCCACTACACTGAGTTGTGGCCGAAGCCTTCATTTACGGTGCACCGGCCCATGGGCTGCAGCACCGCAGCGAACGTCTGACTGTGACGCCTTCGTCAGCAATGAAGCCTATCGTGAGTCACTGCAGTAGGCTAGTGTGTAGGCCTCCATGGATGATTTATGTTCTAGAGCATTTTCAATGCATTACAGAGAAATTCACGAGGAAATGTAACGTGAAAATGCGCCACAATTCGAGCGAAAAGTGGGCAGGTTTCCCGGTACAAGTCTGGTGGTCGGAACAGGCACTACAAGTTTGTAATACAGCCGCTAGGACCAACTAGACCCGGATCGGGGCGCCAGTGTAGCGCAGCAGGGACGTGGGGCGTCAAGCGTGGCAGGTTTTGTGACAGCAGTCATCTGAACCTATTTTCGAAGCCATTAGCCAGCAATGCTCCCGTGACCCCGGGTGATCTTTGCTTCAGGCATATTCAACGTGTGCTTGATTTAGGTTGGAATACATTCCGAATGCGATTCAAAGCGAATGAAACCGAGTGAAATCATTGGCTGTGTAGAACTGGAAATAAATCCGAATCTGACTCCAATGCAAAACAAGTTTGTAGAGAAAAAATAAAGTTAGTAAATGTATTGCGTGCTATGAAAAGAAGTGGTGGAAAGCCATTATAATGTATATATATATATATATATATATATATATATATATATATATATATATATTACACAATATGAAAGTAGTTATTGCGTGTCTCAAAAGTGCGTTAGATGATAGTGTATGACATGTCGTAAGGTATTCGTAATGGTTGATGGTTGGTCTGCATGCCGTCTAGAGTCCGTGTCGTAAAAAGCGCGGTTTCAAATGGCAACTTGTCTACACAACGCTACGTTTGCCACCCACGGCTATGCAGCTTTGATCATAGTGCAAATGGTATGCCGGACGCTATTCCCACTAAATCGAGCTCATAAACAACACGATGTCTACAACACTACTTAAAACAAATACTCCAGATGTATATGATTCAAACATGCATCATTCAAGCCATATTCACAACTCACATCCATGTCTAGATCCTGAATGCAAGATGCACCAATTGAGTGAGAACTGAACTGGGGATGTGGTTTGTTCTGACGATTGTTGCAGTGCACAACGCCGTATTATAAAAAAATGAAGTATCCAGGCACCCGTCCTCGGGAAGGTCAGCACAGACATCGGCTGATCACACATATTAGCTTGAGACGTTTGTGATCACAGGCAATCATCGGACGATGCACGGAACTCCGATTATCGTGGAATGCATTTATACGAAAAGCACAGAACCACATTCACATACGCCTGCACCACACCCGCTAAGGCATCCTGTACGCACAACTGCCTTCAACATCAAAAGACAGAGACTTTTACCGATTACTGAAATCTGTCCAGGCCAGAGCCACAGTTTCGTCGGGCCGGCCGCCTGACTGGACACACACTACACATGCATTAGCTCGTCACCCCGGATTCCTTGGAACGGGAATTACAACTGGGTGGCTTGACTAGAGGTCGAAAGCCAGCGAAAAGCATCCTATCACCGCTCATCAGACTCGGTAGCGTCCTATCACCGCCCATCAGACTCGGCAGTCTGCAGTCTGGCGTTCGACCGATCCAACACCGGGGAACCTCTTAGCGCTTGACTTTTGCTAGGCTTAGGCCCGAGGGCGCAGTTCCGCGAGATGAGTTGGTGAGGCGCTAAGCGAGCGTTTAATCACCATGTCTAAAAACGTACATCCTAGCGGTTTGAACAATATAACTTCAGGGAACTGGCTAAAAAGTTCAAGAAAATGAAAGAAGAACTGAGTTGAGGAAGAGGCCCAGGGCTAGCAACTGCCCCGGAAACTTCACTTCTAGTTTGGCCCATCTCAAGCGTCGCAAGACGAACACTACACGCGCTTCACAGACAGGCGGACCCAGGGTGGACCAACGGACGCCCTTCACGCCAGACTAGGTTTGGAGACGGTAAGCGACTGCATCAGCAGTAGCATGTCCTCGCGGCTGAAGGGGCACGAGCTGAACATCTCGTGGCAGCTGGAACTGGGCGAGTCGCGCATCAGCCGGCCCATGTGCGCCGCGTACGTGTACTGGTAGGCGGCGCTGTCCGGTAGCTCCAGGGTGAACCGTCTGCGGGCACAGACGGGCGTCAAAGGCGCCGCAAGCAGCGCCGCACGCTGGACTCTGCTCAGCCTGGGCCGACCGGGAATGATAAACGGTCAGTAAAGGAGATCTGCTGACCGATCTGACTGATCGATCTGCTGACCACAGACATCAGTGGAAACTACGGTACGGAGGTACGGAGGTGTGCAGCGGCCAAACCTGCTCTCATAGGACTAAACCAGACGCCAGCATCTGACCATCGAAAGATGTTCGTTGACCTTTCTCGGCATTCTATCCCCGTTACTGCAGGCAACTGCTTTCCACGCCATTTTTTTCAGATGCCAGCTGTCCACGCGGCAAAAGACAAACGCCTATAAAGTCTGTTCGAATAACACCGTCAGCTTGAGCTGAATTAGCCACTTGCGTGTCTGGCGGTACGCGGCAGGGTCATCTCGTTCTCACCTGTACATAACGTTTCGTCCGTCCAACCGGTCTCACCTTAGCGTGTTGGCAACGTTTTTCTCGACGTCGCCGGCCTTGGCCAGCTCGTGGTCTTCCTGCATGTGCACTTCACAGATGAAACGCTGCATGCAGGCCGGCTTGCTCTGGCGCCACGAGGAGGCGGAGGCCATGGCTGCACAGCTGAGGGCAGACAGACGTGTGGGCGACGTGTGGCAGCAGCGTTCGGGCCCACCTACCGTCGCAGCACACTGCCGCTCGCACGGCGCAGTTGCTGCAGGCACAACTTCCCAACAGACATCAGCACAGCACCTGAGTCTTTTTCAAGACGCGTCGTCGCAGCATAACCCCTTTTCCAAGACGCATCGTCTCAGCCCAAGCCTTTTCCGAGACGCGTTGTCACAGCATGAGCTTCTCCAAGACACATCGTGACAGCATGACCTTTCTCAAAAAACGTCGTCACAGCATTAACCGTTTCCCAAGACACATCGTCACAGGACAAAGCGCTCTTATCATGACACATTCCACAGCTCACACACTCACCACACTGACGCGCTGTCTCACAAAACATATCTCAGCAACACCCCCATTGCCCACAGCGCATTGCCACGGCAAACAGGGTTTCTCACGCCACATGGTGACGTCACACATGCGCCCGGCCGGTACATAGCGGTGCCGGTACTGTGCAACTGGCACGGCGCCAGCCATCCCATCCCAGCCATGGCGAGCTCAGCCATGCTGGGATGGGGTGGCAGTACATGGATACATGGAAGGCTTCAGCGCATTATTACGCCGGCTGTTGTCATCAATATACTTGCCGCTCTACGGTCGTCTCACTGGCCTTTGCATATGTTCTCATATGATCTGAGTAATGCAAGTAGGCGCTAAACATGTACCACCATAATGCTGAGCGCTCCTATTCACACATCGACTTCCACAAAGCAAAGCACATTCCTGCCGATATTGCAGCGGCGCTCGCAAAAAGTCTCAACACCTTCGCGTCGCCTCAGTACAAGCCGTCGCCATGGCAACCCGACCACGCCACTCACATCGCCTGTCGCTGCGTCTCCGATCCTTCAGCAGGCGGTACAGCTGGGCCGTGGCCTCGATGTCGCGCACGGTGGGCGTGGCCTTGTCGTCGGCGCCCGGGGGTGTCCGGTGGGGCTTCCGCTCCGGGGGCTCCGTGGCCGGGTGAGGCCCTGGGGACACAGCCCGGGGCGTCACCAGGGCAGCGTGCCGTGCAAGCAGCGATTAGGGTACTCAGCTGCACTAGAGGACACGATTCGCGGTCGCTGTGCGTGACACTACAGCTTCTTTGCGCTCACGGTATGCGGAACAGATTACTTCTTGGTCGGAATGCGTAAATATGAAAACATTATGTGGGTAATGACACTATTTCTGAAGCAAGGGAATAATTTGCGGGCCACTTAGGCTTTTCACTTTACCCTGATGGATTTGGCTAACGAATCCATCCATAGCGATCTTCCAAGGAACACCACAAGTGTTGTTCTGAAGGTTCTTACAAGCGTTCTAGTTCTAATGACGCCATTGTTCTAGTGTATGGTACGGAAGCCGGGCCACGGCTCTAGCGAGTCTTACCTCAGATAGCGATAAAATACCAGCTTACGCGCCTAAGCCCACCCCGGTCTTCGCGATTTCTAAAAGCCAATATCTTGACGACCAGTGGCACTGATCACAAGCACAATTCTCTAAAACGTTATACTGCCTACATGTTGTGGCATCTGCACGCAATCTGTATTTGATCTGGTTCACTGCAATGTGAGCCAAATATAGCCTTACCCATTCAACAGGCATGAGAAATGCAGGATTTCATTATGGCGAAAAACGTCACACAGCGTATGTTGAGTCCAGCACCAGATCTTAACGGCCCGGCATAACAGTAAAACGAAGTTTGTTTGTTTGGCGGAGGAGACAAAGGGATGCACAGACACACGGTAGTGAGAAGTTCACCATGACAGAGTATTAGTCCCATAGATTTTCGGCTAAAGACAAACATCATAGCTGGCAATCTTCCGGCGTTTGTTTTAGTTATTGTGGGTCTAAGGCCGCGTCGGATCTGGACATTCTGCAGCCCACCTTCCACACCCACACCTCAAAATGATATGTGAGTGTTCAGCCGTTTTTTCAATCCGCTTGCCTGTTCTGTTGTGCAGTGACAGGCAATGGTAACTGTATTCTTAGTGGAAGTGTATCGCTTCATATCTTTATCAGATCCATGGCTAAAACTCAATCTCACGCACCTATTCCGAGAAGAACTTTCGTAAACAAAGCGAGAGCTGCTACCCTTCTTTGAACTATTCTACCCCGCCTGACCCTTCTGCTAAGCCGTGGCTGCAGCCAGTCTCCGAAACTGAGGGGGACAGTCGCGATTATAGAGGTAAAGCCGGGACGTGCAAGGAGAGCCTGACCTAAAAAGACGGCACTTTGAATGGAAAAATATAAAAACTTGCATTAATGAGCCTAAGGCATTTTCGCTGGTTGGCTGAACAATAGGGATCATCTGCCGCTAAGTGACAGATCAATTCTAATTGCTATCTTAACGATGTCCTAACCGTTGCTTGACATGGTCGCTTTACCAATACCTCCTGGTGAACTGGAGGTCGGTGGTTACCTACAGCAAAGAACTCATCACAATTTTATAGGGCAATATATTCGAGCGCAACCTGCAGGAACAAAGTTTGTTAGCTCAGTTTCCCCGTGTGTGCCGCAAAGCAAAAGACCTTCCGCGATGGCAGGAGGGGCGGGGGTGAAGGGGATATGGCACTCCCACTTTTTGTGAAATTTAGCATTGACGTTAAAAGGATGTGTGGAAAGAATCTACCTCAACAAAAGTTTTTACCCGCTCAGTTATTGTGCCGTTCTTACAGCCCTGCTCCCTTGTTACATGTGCTGTTCGACAATTCGTCAGGAAGTATCGCCTGAGCCGAGAACCTGTATGCCCTGCTGTGGTGTTGGCTCTGGATATGGAGCCGGGCGCTGCACGGGCGCATATCGCACTGCTTTTTCTGTTATTTCTCTTTGGGGGGGGGGGGGGGGTAGGAGACACTGCGGCAGCCTTGCGTGATTTTCCAAAGGCACCATCACTGCACGGCACTCCAGCGCCAGAAGGTACCGAATCAGAGCTTCTTCGCCTGGGATTTGTCACCAAATGCGGACAAACTCGTGCACTAATTGAGGCGGCAAAGGCAGCGTGTTTTGGCACCGATTGTGTTATGTTGTGTTCTAATGCGCTTTTTATTATTTTTGTTGTTTTCTTATATATATATATATATATATATATATATATATATATATATATATATGGATTGTGCATTACATAAAGCGCAGACAAAGCGTCGTAGCCGGTGTTTTACCACCTTCAACTCAATCACTTGACGGGATCAATAGAGCTGTACGACCTCAGTCGTCTTCTTATGATGCAGTCTATTAAAATATATTTGTTACTGATTTATATGCCACGCTTCCCCCTCCACCCCACACGGCCCGACCACAACACACCACGCTACACCACACCACACCCCTCTCCTCCCCTCCCCTCCCCTCCCCAACCCCCACCCCCTCCCCTACCTCCCCTCCCCTCCCCTCCCCTCCCCTCTCCCCCCCCCAACCACACCCACAGTCGTCTAGCCGCGTGGTCTGTAAATATTCGGTCACGCTCTAACCTGGAATAGCTTGTCAATTTCGCACCCACGCGATGTCCGGCCGCCGCCAGCTGGCGTCCACCGACCGCCTTGTTTAATACTTTAAAAGGATATTCTTCTGTCACGCTTTCTCCTACAACTCGTCTGGCTGCATGGTCTGTAAATGCTCGGTCCGGCGGCCCCTCGCCGAGAATAGGCCCGTCCATTTCGCTCGCACCACGCGATGGCCGGCTCCGGCCAGCGAATGCAGCGCGGCCCCGTGGGCCGGCTCCCTGGTCCGCTCCGTGCCGTCCCGTCTCACAGCACACCCGGACCACGCCCACCCCGCGCTGCTGGCAGACTCAGGGTCAGCCGGTCTGCTCAGGGCCACGAGACCGGGCGCCGAGACGCCGGGACTGGGGAGACTGTGCGGCGCGCGCGCGCGCGCGCGCGTGTGTGTGTGTGTGTGTGTGTGTGTGTGTGTGTGTGTGTGTGTGTGTGTGTGTGTGTGTGTGTGTGTGTGTATGTGCGTGCGTGCGTGCGTGCGTGCGTGTGTGTGTGTGTGTGTGTGTGTGTGTGTGTGTGTGTGTGTGTGTGTGTGTGTGTGTGTATGTGCGTGTGTGTGTGTGTGTGTGTGTGTGTGTGTGTGTGTGTGTGTGTGTGTGTGTGTGTGTGTGTGTGTGTGTGTGTGTGTGTGCGTGCACGGACCGCCGGGCTGAGATGGGTTTACGAGTGGCTGCTGACAGTCGCTGACCAGGCGGCAGTACGTGGCTCTCGGTCAGAACCGGCGAGAGCGCAAAGCGTGTGCACAGATGTGTTCAATGCTGTTTCGCGTCTGGGAGGCTACACAGGATATCGCATCGCACGCAATTGTATGCTGATAACCTATCGGGCATTAGGATGTCTACCATTTAGCATATCTTAGGATCATTAGGATAGTTACCAGCCTAAAGATAAGAAACGAAACGAAAGATACGCGCGCGTTGGGTTTCATCTATAAGCGAGGCTTTGCTTGTGGCCCTTTGCTTTGTTAGCCCTTTGGGTGTCATTTAGGGATGCTCCACCTTGTGGAGCGCGTTGTTTTCCTCACGTACGGCAGCGATCCAACTAGATTCCGTTCAGTTACATGTCATCTACTTGAACAGTTGTCGCGCTTGCCACCTGAGAAAATGCGAAATAGGTTCCACTTTCCCTGACGGCCTTCTTGTGCCACGACCGGGGGCCAAGGTCGCGTGCAGCGTGTTACACAACACCATCACACTAAAGACATTCTCTCTCCATTTCACGTCCAGATCACCGCGAACAGCACAATACTCACGTGGTGGCACAAACTCCATCGGCTCCTGTTCCTTTTCCTCAGGCAGCTGGAGTGGCTGCGTCCTCTTGGGCTGCACGCGGTTCCTGTCACCAGCCTGCACATCTGGCACCACCCAGGAGGCCACCAGGCCCTCCAGCAGCCATCCGGAGGTCGCCGGCAAAGCGCAGAGCGCCACCAGCGCCGCCATCACCGTCCACTGCCGAGCCATTTTCACCTGCGTCTCATGTCCCCCTAACCCCCGCTTCCTGTTGATACCAGTCCTATCGACGCGCCGCACGTGCTCGCGCCACTCCAGCCAATGGCAAAGCACGCAAGGCCGCAGCCGGCGCGGCCAGCTGCGGGCTGAAAAGTGAAAGTGCCGCCCGCAGTGGAAGGCCAGTCTGGCGTCCGTGCTATGGGCAGCTACTGGAGTGCCACGGTTCGTAGTTACGTTACTCGGCCACGGCATGGCGTTCATCAACTCACGGACACCCCGAACAACAGAACTGTCGCGACGTATTTATTGGACAGAAAGAACCTTTGGAAAGCGTGACGAGAGAGCGATTGTAGGAACATGCTGGTATCAGCTACCCAATGCCTGACCTATTGTGTGTGAGCTTACCCAGGTACTTCCACTTAATGCAATTTGTGTTATTGACTTCGCTCATAGCATAAATGAAGCAGTTATTTCGAGCACCAAATGCATACACCACAGCTTTGAGGTTCTGGCAACGTTTTATGTATTACGTGTAGTGAGCAGATTTCCATCCTTCGCCCTGCCAAATCAGGACTTCAAATCAACCGTAATGTCCCACCTCAAATTTGCTGCCCTCAAGCTCACTTATAACTATTGATATGCTTTAAGTGGAAAAAGGCTGCTCTCGACGACATAATTTTTATATTTAGTAAATACGATGTTCAATAATATGTCATTGTTCGATTGCGTCGTCGTGCCCTGCACGACATTGACTGAGAGCCAATTGCCGGTCGCTATTTTTGAGAATCTTGCTCACGATCGCCAGATATGAACGATCCGACAATACAATTTTTGTTAACCTTGATCTCTGCATGGTCAGTGAAATGCCAGTAATTGAATGATTTTAACACACACCCCTTTTGACGCCAACCAATCTAAAATGCTGTAGCTACAGCAGCTAGTTTCGGCCCGGCCAGTCACACTTTTGACGCGGTGATCTCTGCAGCCACTCACCGCACCACATGGAATGCTTAGCGGTAGGCAGCACTTTTCTTTAGGTGTGTGATAATACTTTCAAGGCACCTAACTGCAGACCTTTGGCCATATGGTGTATTTGTGCAGCGTTTCACTGTAACCACCATTGTACATCACCGCCGATAGATATGGAAAATGTGAAGTTTTGTAATCGCGGGAAGAAAAAAAGACTGAAGAACATGAAAAGATGACATTCCAGGTCTCGGCGACCCCGTGGTGCAGTACCATGACACCAACTAATGTTTACGGAAACGCGAGAGAAGAACTGTGCTAGCCGAGCACTGTGTGCAGATGTCAGTGTAGATTCTCACAAGCAACCGTGCGCATACCTCGCACGCAGCCACTTCCCGTCGTTTTTAAGGACTGGGGTCAGGCCTCGACGATCAGCGGACGGCGACGTGAAGGCAGCTGTGCGACGTGAGCGTCCGTATCGTGCACCAATCACTCGGTGGCGTCGACGCTGTCCGGCCAATAGGCGCTCTGGTAGCGGGCCGGAAAGCCGTCACCTTTTCCAAAATCAGCCTCAAACAGGATCTTGCGAGACCTCACCGCTTCGTTTAGGTCTGAGCCCTTTGCTGGACAGCTTGGTACATCTGTGGCATCCACGGCGGCTTTTCCTTAACGCTGTCCGTCCATGTGCATGATCACTTTTGCCTGAGATCGATACTTCGTAGCGCCAAGAGTGGAAACTTACTCAGATCATACCTGTCCAGCCCCACTCTACAGTTATATCTGCGACGGTAGCCTGCAGCGCCGAAGTGGTACCGTTCTGAAAAGCGCTCCCCAAACATGTCTGTGCCTCGTCTTAACGGCCCTCACATCGACAAGTGAGAAATGTCGGCGATCAGTAACCGGGGCTACAGCTCTCAGACCTGTCAGTTCCCCGACGCGCCTTTTGATTGGGGTGACTTCCATGAGCACTCAAGCCAGCGAGTCAGCACAATGTTTTGTGATGTTTTATTGTTCATATAGATGACGCGCTGGTACAGGGTAGCATGAATGCTGACCGGGAGCTGACTGCCAGTACAGTGCTCGCCGTCACCGGAACCGACGGAAGACAGGCATCGGTGCGGGTTCGGAGCTCCAAAACACAGCGCGCCCGCTGCCCGCGCCGAAACACTCCGACGACGCCGTGTCAGCGTCACTATCGAAAATATACACAGCATCGACACGGGTATGGATGCACAGGCGCACGCTCACTCGCCGCGGCGTTGCACGGCGGCTCGCAACTCCGTCATTGACGCGTCGTGTCGCCATGGCAACGTCAGCTGACGCGTCGCAGTCGTTATTGCCGCTGAAATGGCTGAAATAGTAAACCTCAGCCTGGCGGGGTAGCGCGTCGCCACCCGCTGGCGGGCGTGCGATCGCTCCCGAGAAGAGACACCCGCAGGCCTGCTGAGCTCCGACGCGATCCGCTCAGCTGACAACCGCCGCAAGTGGCAGGGCTTCGTGGTGATACTACGCGGCGAATTCGACGACACAGTCACCGCCCGCCAGCCGTCCGGAGGACCGTCTAGACGGGATCATGGCTCCGCAGCTGCAGTGAACCTACGTCGTATCACAACTGGTGTGGAGGATGTGTGTCGGGCCGCCCGCGTCGCAGGGCATCTCTACCGTCCCAGAGGAGAAAAGCGCGCGCCCCATCGTCGGTAACTTGAGCCGCTCATATCTGACGGTCGGTTGCCGCATAGCTACTACGTATTTTCTGATACGCAGTTGAAAATGGAACAATTGTTGCAGCTTTGAAAAGGTGACACGGCGTAAAATTTCAGATATCCGACTTATTGTCGTTTGGGGTTCGGCACCTTGTGTTTGGAAACGAACCTGGAAGTGTCCAATGACGCACGGTTCTCTTCTTTGGAGAAGCAGGTCTATACTGGCGTCGGGCGACTGTGGTATGTTGGCATTGATTGGCGATCGGTGAGGTGGATCTGGACCAGATTTGAACCGCCGTGACGCGCCCGTATCCGATTCCATCAGATGCAGGCCGCCGCTCACGGGCTGCCGTCGGACAATGCCCACTGCCAGACATCCCTATCTGACGCCATGCACACGCTCTCAACACGGGACGGCCAACATGCAGCTATGGTCCTCCGCGTCCCACCCGGACCCCACCGACCTCGCGCCTCGCTCGCGCCGCGTCCCACGCCGTAGCGTGCGGGCCCCGGACTTCTGTCCCGCCGCGCTTTGGGCTCGGACATCCCTAGAGACGCGCGACGCGACAGCGTGGGGCGCGGGCCGCGCCGGCGGCAGCACATGACGAACCGGAGCTGCCCTGACGGGAGCTGAGAGCCCCGCCGAGACAGCCCGCCTTCACTCCCTCTCCGCCGTCACCTGAACCTACTCCTGGTCCGGCTCCGGCTCCAGCCCTGGTTCCAGTTCCGGCTCTGGTTCTGGTTCCAGCTCCGGCTCTGGCTCCAGCTCCAGTTCCAACTCCGACTCCAGCTCCGGCTCAGGCTCCAGCTCTGACTCAGGCTCGGGCTCCAGCTCCGGCTCGGGCTCAGGCTCCGCCTCCGGTTCCGGCTCCGTCTCCTGGTCGTCTCCCCGATCACCAAGCGTCTCCTTCGATCCGGGGAGCGGAGACGGAGACTTGTCGCCCAGGTCCACCAGGCTGCCCTGTGGACACGACGAAGACGTTGACGGCAACGTGTTCACGGGAGACGGCGGAAACAGTAGCAGACACGTCTCTTGCGGACATGACACGCGAAGGCAGCCGGGGTCTCTAGGTCCTTGTCATTATTGTCTCCATGGGCACCGTATGACTAAGGCAGTCCCCGCGCCCGAAAGCCAAAATCATCATCACCACCACTACTGTCTCCATGGGCGCCGGATGACTGAGGCAGTTCCTGCGCCCGAAAGCCAAAATCATCATCACCACCACTACTGTCTCCATGGGCGCCGGATGACTAAGGCATTTCCTGCGCCCGAAAGCCAAAATCATCATCACCACCACTACTGTCTCCATGGGCGCCGGATGACTGAGGCAGTTCCTGCGCCCGAAAGCCAAAATCATCATCACCACCACTACCGTCTCCATGGGCGCCGTATGACTAAGGCAGTCCCCGCGCCCGAAAGCCAAAATCATCATCACCATCACTATCGTCTCCATTCCGGAGCCGCGGGGACAGCGGAGACAAACGGTCGCGTGCACCGAGAAGATGTGTCTTAGAACTTCAAGAAGGCATCTTGCGGAAACCGTTCGTGCAACGTGAACCAGGTGTCCTGCCTAGACTGCAGGCAACGGGAGACGGACGCTCGGCAGAGACCACTTCTCATGAGGAAGGGTTCTGCGAGGCCGGCAGGATCATTGACATGCAGGCGTTCCGCGGGAACGTAAATACATCAGCAACGTAGGACGTTCTGCGAAGATGCTGAGTCGCATGACCCAGGAGTCGCTCTTGAGACCCAGCCGGCAAAGCTGGCATTGGTCTGGATTGGCAATGGACATAATACACCCTGTTCGACAGCAGTACTCGCTGCCCCGGCATTGATCCGTGATGGCCGAATGCCGTGCTTGGACCTCGAAATACGCACGCAATGGGGACGCGTAATACGATATTGAGCTCGCTCCCGAAAGGCGCAATGCAATGTTTCTGGCTAGTCTGAATGAATACGCTCGCACGGAATCCCCAAGCTACAGTTAAAAAAGTCGCCACATCAGCATGTTCTTCACATCAGCAATACATTTCTTTATTTTATCACTTCCGCATTCATTCAATCCAGCGGGACATATGATACTGATATTTCCAGCGGTAGATAGCAATTTCCTTTCCAGGATTATCAACCATTTCGCGACAGGATTGACCGCAAACAGTTTTCAAACAAATTCTTAGGATCTATAAACGTCTTGAAGCCCGCTGACCAGCTCGACATCCCTACACGTCTTATGAATCCCTCAACCATCCTAGAGGGTTATGCTCCTGAGTCCCTAACACTTGCAGTGGTCTGTATGTTCGTGTGCTGCCGGTCCCTGATGATGTGCTGGGATCGCTGGCACAGCCCGCTCCCAGGGCTGACATGGCATGAGCACGAGCTTGAGTCGCCCCCCCCCCCCCTTGAAACCCTGGTTAACATACCGAGATCTGTAACATGAGTAGCTCCGTTGCCTAGCAGGGTCACCAGCATAACCCGCTACCCCAGCTGGCGTGCCGAAGCCGCTGGTATGCGCCGCTCACTGGCGGATGCACTTACGCTAGCATAGACCGCTTCTCCACTGGTCTGGCTGGGAAGAGATCGGTTGCATCACCTGCCCCCCTGCCGGCTTACTCGCGACAGGATCGCTAGCATAAGCTATTTCCCGGCTGACGTGCGGGCTTCGCTAGCGTCGCCTGCCTCCCGGCCGGCCTACCCGGGAACGGATCGCTAGCACAAGCTATTCCCCAGCTGACGTGCAGGCTTCGCTAGCGTCGCCTGCCTCCCGGCCGGCCTGCCCGGGAACGGATCGCTGGCACAAGCTACTCCCCAGCTGACGTGCAGGCTTCGCTAGCGTCGCCTGCCTCCCGGCCGGCCTGCCCGGGAACGGATCGCTAGCACAAGCTATTCCCCAGCTGACGTGCAGGCTTCGCTAGCGTCGCCTGCCTCCCGGCCGGCCTGCCCGAGAACGGATTGCTGGCATAAGCCGGCGTTCGCCGGCGGCAGTCTCTGATGGCCGGGGCCACGCAGCCGCCGGTCACGAAGCCCGGCCCGTCCGCACGAGCCGAGCTGCACGGCTATTTCAGGCGGCCATTAGCAGTACTTGTGAGGGCGCGGACTCAATCCGTGATGATGCTTGCATGCTGTGGGCGCTGGGGCCAGTGTGGGTGCAGTCGGCCATAATGGCTGTCGGGGGGACAACTAGGTTCATTGCCGCGACCGAAGGCGCAATACGCATTCCGTGTCCGTTAAGACTACATGTAGACGGACTTCTAACTCGCGGCCGAGGGGAGGGGTGCTTTGATTCCTCCGTGTTTTTACCATGAAGTTTCGAACGGTGACACCCAACGTGGCGGAACTGTATACAATAGAGTATCCGTTTTTGGTGTCAAAAATAAGTAATGTTTTGATGTCATATGCATGTAGCGGATCAAAGTCAGGCCATGGTTGTTGGCAAAACCATTTTTTTAGAGGAATCTTCCAAGCTGATGCAACAATAGATCTTTAGACGAGGTAATATAACATCGAAATGGTTTCTTAAACTATAACAATAAAAATTAGGATCACAAATAGTTATATTGGCCTTGACTTCGGTGCGAAGACAAGAGCAAGGTCAATACCAAACAACTTTTGGATGGAAAATTTGTTTTTGAGGTGCGTTTAACGCTTATTTCACATTCCTTGATCACAAAGACTCAAACAGACTGTTCATGTTGACGATATGGATGTCAGGGAAGGTCACTGACCTGAATTGACCCCGATGGACCTTTGCTTTGAAGAACTTACTGCCTAGAGCATTTCTGGATGCCGTTTTTAAATGTTAATATGAAATTAATCTCGAATGGCTTTGTGCCACTTTTCCAGTTAAATGTAGATCAGGTAATTGAACTGAAATAACATTGTTTGACCTTTGGCTTGGAAATGGCATCTAGGTTGAAGTTGGATGCGTGAGTAAGTATGACGGTACCTCCGAGACTATTTTAAGCCCAGCCTTGTTTAACCTTACTTGAGCCGAACTTTATGCGCTGGATATGTGAAAAAATCACCAGAAGCGAGTTTGCATCAAATCTTGCTTTGCCTCATTAACTTGGTATTTCTAGCTCCTTCGGTTCGCGACAGCCAAGGGCTGAAATGGATGGCCCTGACGAGTTGCATTCTAGCGGCCAACAGAGGGCGTGTTAAAACTGTAGCCTTCTCAGATTACTTTTTCTCAGTGGGTGGCAGCATCTATCACAAGAGGGTCAGCCAGTAATGGCCATTCCGGTGTTGTGAGATTAAGGAAAGTGGGTGACAGTGGAGCAATACTGTATGCTCCTGGGAACGCTCCGCCGAGAAGCAGCTCCCACAGCGACCACTATTCGGTGCGTGGGCTGGGCGCTTGGGCGGGGCCGCCGCCAGGGGCTCGTAAGGCCACTCATCGCTGGCGCATGCGGCTTGCTCCTGATACATGGGGCGTCGCGGCGATGAGGACAAGGTGAGAATGAGGAAAGAATAGCTGGTGATCGTAAACTCGCGGTAATCTTCATCTGCTACCGTCAAGCCGGACGCTGAAGCGAGGCGGAGCCGCTCGGCGCCCTGCGACAGCCGGCCAGCACCGGGCGGTGCTCGACACGGCTGGAAGCGGCCCATCCGCGCCGCCAGGCGCTAGCTGGTCCTAGATGCGATGTCCGACCGCGGTGCTTTGACGCGCGGTGCGTGTGACCCATACGTTCTGACGACTGGCGCAGAGGGGACCCGTCCGGTCGCCAGTCTCGTAGCCGTGTGTCCAACCGTCCGACCCCCAGACTCGCAGGCATGTGTCCAACCGTCCGACCCCTAGACTCGCGGGCACGTGCCCGACCGTCTGGCCGCTAGACTCACAGGCATGTACCCGACCGTCCGGCCGCTGGACTCGTAGCCGTGTGCCGGCCCGGTCGGCCGCTAGACCCGTAGCCATGTGCCCACCGTCCGGCCGCTAGACTCGTAGCCGTGTCCCGCCCGGCCGGCCCCCGCTCCTGGACGTTCGGCGTTGCCAACTTTGCTTTCTCCGCCTGGCTATGTGTGAGCTGCACTCGTCTTGCTCGGCTGCGCGGGGCGAGTGGCGTGGGCCATTTCTGCTCGTGCGGGGATCGTGTGGGATCGTGTGGGGTCGTGTGGGATCGTGTGGGATCGTGCGGGGTCGCGTGGATTATGCGGCGTCGTGTAGGCTCGCACCGGTCGTTTTCAGAGGTGCAACGCGAGGCTAGCGCACGGCAGAGGTGAGGCTCTTAAGCGCCGCTAGCCGGGGTTTTGATGCTGTGAGCGAGGTCGGCGGGCCCGCCTGGTGGCTGTTCCGGCGGGTCAGCTCAGCTAGTACGCCGGGCTGAAGAAGTCGCCTAAGGGCGGGCTCTCTGCAGTAACGGTGTGCTCAAATGCAACGTTGACATCCTGCCGCCTTTCACCCGAAAATGAAAGTCGCGAAAAGAGACGTTTGCAATGTTGCGGCACCTGCTTCCAGTTCAATTTACCTGCAAATATTAATGTTATTGCATAGCGTGATTTCAATTGTCTTGCATTCAATGTTCATGATCATTACGTCATGACCGCTTTTAAGGATACATTTGAGCGGAACAACGGGGAATAAAAACATCACAGAATTTGGCCCGTGCGGATTGTTTTATTTGACAGATAAGTGTCTGTTGGCAACGATTCTAAGCCTCAAGAATGCTTTAGGAACTGAACCGCGGGAGTTTCAAATGATTGTAGGGAGGTTTAAGGTTCGGGGCCAGCAGTAGAACGTCACGACATCGCTCCGCGAATGTGCCCAAACTGCCCAGTGCTGCCTATGCATCTTCAAGTCTAATGAAAAATAAACACCGATCTCACTGTTGCTTGGGCAATAGCACGACAATGACAGTACACGTTTAAAAATTGTTTAAGTATAAAAAATATACGTCGAGGAAATTTAAGTTGGCTGTTGTTGTAAAAGTGTCTACTCTACTCTGGTCTCAGCTACGCTGGTCACTGAATGACTCCTTAGGCCCTCCGAGCTGACAGCGCCCTATGCCATGACATCTCACCTGACTGCTCTCCGTCCGCTTCAGCTCTTCGACGATCTCCTGGTGCTCGTCAATCAGCTTCTCCAGGTCGTCTAACCGCCGCGCAGCCTCTGACTGAAATGAGACCGACAGAGGGTCAGAGGAGCAACAGATGACAGGAGAGCGGTTAGGCGGAGAGCAACAGATGACAGGAGAGCGGTTAGACGGAGAGCAACAGATGACAGGAGCGTGACAGATGACAGGAGAGCGGTTAGACGGAGAGCAACAGATGACAGGAGAGCGGTTAGGTGGAGAGCAGCAGATGATAGGAGCGTGACAGATGACAGGAGAGCGACGGAGGTTCAGGGGAGCAACAGATGACAGGAGCGTGACAGATGACAGGAGAGCGACAGAGGTTCAGGGGAGCAACAGATGACAGGAGAGCGACGGAGGTTCAGGGGAGCAACAGATGACAGGAGCGTGACAGATGACAGGAGAGCGACGGAGGTTCGGGGGAGCAACAGATGACAGGAGAGCGGTTAGGCGGAGAGCAGCAGATGACAGGAGCGTGCCAGATGACAGGAGAGCGACGGAGGTTCAGGGAGCAACAGATGACAGGAGCGTGACAGATGACAGGAGAGCGACGGAGGTTCAGGGAGCAACAGATGACAGGAGAGCGACAGAGGTTCAGGGGAGCAACAGATGACAGGAGAGCGACGGAGGTTCAGGGGAGCAACAGATGACAGGGAGAGCGGTTAGACGGAGAGCAGCAGATGACAGGAGCGTGACAGATGACAGGAGAGCGACGGAGGTTCAGGGGGAGCAACAGATGAACAGGAGAGCGACGGAGGTTCAGGGGAGCAACAGATGACAGGAGAGCGACGGAGGTTCAGGGAAGCAACGATGACAGGAGAGCGACGGAGGTCAGGGGAGCAACAGGATGACAGGACGAGCGACAGAGGTTCAGGGGAGCAACAGATGACAGGAGAGCGACGGTGGTGTCAGGGAGCAATAGATGACAGGAGCGTGACAGATCGACAGGAGCAGCGACAGAGGTTTCAGGGGAGCAACCGATGACAGGAGAGCGGTTAGACTGAGAGCAGCAGATGCAGGAGCGTGACAGATGACAGGAGAGAGCGACAGAGGTTTCAGGGGGGAGTCAACAGATGACAGAGAGCGGTTAGACGGAGAGCAGCAGATTGACAGGAGCGTGACAGATGACAGGAGAGCGACAGAGGGTTCAGAGAGCAAAGGATGCCAGGAGAGGCAGAGGGTCGGTCAGACCTCAGGCGGCCCTATGCCAGTGAGCTACAACTGCATTTCGAGTTGGAGTCATTGTCTTAGAGGGTCATACTATCGAAAGAGATGGTATTGAGGTTAGACGCCAGTGCGGATATATAATAAGACTATCGAAAAGCATTGCTCTCTCGGTCGAATTTTAGGATGTGTTCGACCAGCCCGCATCCATCAATGATAAAGGCGATTGTCCTACATAATTTTTAGCTTTTATAGATTGTTACATTTGTTGGATGAGGCCGGGTGTGGCAAAAGCTTCCACAACTGCGTCCAGTATATCCGGTGCGGAGCTCAGTGGGGGCTGTAGGCGTCACGGAGGGATGGTAGCAGTCGAGCAGACGTAAGTGGGAGATGGTGGCCTGTAGTGGGGTGACGGTTAGACGCGGACTGACGGACCAGGGACGGCCGGAGGATGGACGAATATGCAGTGGACGGTGGACGCAGTCCTTCCCAGGGTCCGTTGTCGTCGGCAGTCAGACACGGTTTCATCTAGCAGAATCCCTTCGGGATGGAGACGAGCTGCACGCAGAAATCGCTCTGAAGGATCACTACGGGATGTCGGCGCGTGATGCACCGAAACTAACGTAATTAACGCCGGTCCTGCGGAGGGCGGACGATTAAGGATGCATGGTAGCATGCTTATGTGGCCATCTCGAACCGGCTTGGACGGATGGAAAAATCTCAAAAGATATTTGTACAGACCACGCATAAACAGTGTCCTACACCACCCAGATGTTACGTCCAAAAATGGGTCGTACGCAGCATGCATCTGTCTGCCCAGTCAGAGCCATCGCAGTGGCGATTAGGCCCATCGATCCTTGTCACCCCGTGGACGGTATGCGAATCAGACGTGAACGCTGCGTCTCCGCCCACAGTCGCTCCGTGACCGCTGCGTCTCCGCCCCACAGTCACTCTGTGACCGCTGCGGCGTCACCTTCATCTGTGTCAGTTTGGCTCGGCTGCCGTCGCTGGCGTCGCTCCGAGGCTCGTCGTCCAGGCCGGCATGGTGGACCACTTGATCCACGACATTGCTGAAACGACAGGGCCATGTGAGCGAGCCAGCTCGGTGCAGTTCGCTATTCTTCCGAGGGTATGTCGGCAGATGGCGCAAGGATCGGCTTCGTGGGGGCCACAGCGGAACGGTAGAGTATGCTCGGTGGCCAGCGAGATTGCCAACTGGATGTTCTCATTTGGACATGATCGGAGTGAGATCCACACTGAGCCGACCACGTTTCGTCGGGAAGCCCGAACAACGTAGTACATAGTGGCTAGCGCTTTGGCTAGGCATGCATGTGAGACGAGCGCACAAGTCGAGGAGCTTTCGCGCGCATGCAAATCAAATGACGAGCAACAAATCAAAACAGGTGCTGACGTCTTGGTCTTCCGGGTATTCTATTGTTTGCTACGCAACGCTTCTTCCATTTTTACATTCGCTCAGACACGCGCAAAACGCCTCTTACGCTGTCCTGCCCAGCACTCCGTGGGCTTCGTGTGTCGCTGTTGTAGCGCTTCCTCAACTGCGTTTAAGCGTGGCAGGATTTTACCTGTCCAGCCACATGAATTGCTTGTGGTGGTGGTAATAGGATCAAAGCTGAGAGATCAGAGCAAGAGAGCCGGAACTAGAGATAAGAGCAGTGGTGATCAGAGTTCAGAGACCAAAGCAATGGTGATGGGATCAGAGCTCAGAGATCAGAGTAGTGGTGATGGGACCAGAGATCAGAGCCAGAGCAGTATGTGGATTATGGGATCAGAGCTCAGCGATAAGAGCAGTGGTGAT